AGATGATTTGTCACAGTAGCGTTATTCCCTGGAGACAGTATTCTGACCAGACCTTCTTGGGAGTGGTCATAACATACCCTGTGCTTGTAGAAAGGTGTGGGCCATATCACTAAGTAAATCAGGGTCGGTTTTCTTATCTTGTGGAAAAGGAGATAAAGTTATGATACTTTATCTCCCTTTCCACAGGTTTCCTGCAGGTTTGTGTCTCCACTGCGGCCCCAGTGGCCCCAGTGCCACTGTGGCCGCAAGGCTTGGGGCTGCTGGGTGCTTGGCCCCCCTGCAGGCTGTGTCTCTGCTCCTCCAGCCCCAGCAGCCCCAGCACTGCCGTGGCCACGGGGCTTGGAGCTACTAGGTGCCAGGCCCCCCTGCGGGCTTGTGTCTCTGCTCCTCCAGCCCCAGTGCCACCGCGGCCATGGGGCTTGGGGCTGCTGGGTGCCGGAACCCCCTGCGGGCTTGTGTCTCTGCTCCTCTGGCCCCAGCGCCACCGTGTCCATGGGGCTTGGAGCTGCTGGTTGCCGGGCTGCCCTGCAGGCTTGTGTCTCTGCTCCGCCAGACCCTGCGGCAGTGGTGACGAAGCAGGCCCAGAGGGCCTCAGCAGGCGGGGTGGGGCAAAACGCCTGCGTAATCACTATGGTGATGATGCAAGCATCCTGGCCCAGCTGCCGCCATCTTTATTGCAGACTGACAGTGAATTTGCATATTCCCTCCTTATTGGCTGTGGGTGTCGCCATCTTTGTCGTGGAGTGATGGTTAATTTGCATATTAATGTTTTATTAGATAGGATAAGTACTTATTTGTAGCCATTTTTATTCTTTATGCCTGTGTTCCTTCTTCCTTTTCTATTTCTCCTTTTTACAACTGTCTCTTATGCATTTATTTCATTGCTGGCTTGGTAATGATAAACTCCCTTAGCCTTTTTTTTGAGAATCTCCTGACTTTCCCTTCAATTTTGAATGATAGCCTTGCTGGACAGAGTATTCTTGGATTCAGTCCCTTGCTTTGCATCACTTTGTATACTTCATTCCATTAGCTTCTGGCCTGATGTGTTTCTGCTGCAAAACCATTTGATAATCTAATAGGATATCCCCTGTAGGTAACTCTCTATGTCTCTCTTGCAGCCCTTAAGATTCTCTCTTTGTCATTAACTTTGCCATTGTAATTATGACGTGTGTCTTGCTGTAAGTCTTTTTGGGTTCATCTTGTTTAACACTCTCTATTCTTGTGTGACTTTTTTCTTCCCCAAATCAGGGACTTTTCTGTCATTATTTCTTCAAATATGTTTTCTAATCCTTGCTCCTCTTCTTGTCCATCTGGCACCTCTATTATATGGATGTTGCTTCATTTCATGTTGTCCCAAAGCTCCCTTAAGCTCTCCTCCTTCTTTTTAATTTTTTCTCCAATTGTTGTTCAGATTGGGTGTTTTATTCTACCCTGTCTTCTAACTCACTGATTTGGTTCTCCGTTCTTCTAGTCTACTGTTGAAACCTTCCATTTTGTTCTTTATTATAGCTGTATCATTCTTCATTTCCTCTTGATTCATACATCTGTTGGTAAATTTCTCATCCAGCTGGTTTAGGAACTGCATGACTCTTACTCTGAATTCTTTCTCTGACATACTAATTGCCTCTATTTCATTTAGTTCCTTTTCTGGCGATCACTCATTTTCTTCCCTTTGGGGGTTCTTTGTCTCTCCATTTTCCTGTCTCTTTTTGGCCCTGGGCTCCCTGCTTGGGGTCTGTGGGGTTGAATCCCCTACCGGATCAATGACCTGGGACTTGCTAGCCTGGAGACTGGGTCTACCTTGAGTTTTACACCTTTATTGTTTCTGCTCTGAGTTGTAACCCCTTTTGCCCTGGTTCTTGTCCCTCAGTTGTCCACTTCACATTCTCGCAGTCGGCGGGTTCACATGCACAGTTCCTCTGGTGTGCGACTCCCTGTGAGTTCCTAGAGCCCTCTGGCATGCAATACATTGTGCGGCCCCAGCACCCAAGGAAGGATGGCATCCTAGGACCCTCTGGCAGCACACATGTGACTTATGGCTGGGAAACCAGATCACACCAGTAGCTCTGACCTGGGCTGGGGGTAGGGTTCATGCTAGGAAACAGCTCTGTCTGTGCTGGGGGTGGAGTGCTCGCTGGCCAGAAGCCTCTCACCATGCCGGGGACAGAGCCTGCATTAGTATTTCTTCTTAAAAGTAATAAATCTTAGTTTAGTTTCATAAAGAAAATTAATTCCAAAATTACAGGTTGATCTTAACAAGAGGAACTCTGAGTTTTAATATTTTGCCATCAGAAACAAATTACTCTTCTCTTAAAATTAACAAAATCGTTTGGCTCAGAAAAAGAAAAGCTGTCTAGAAAATGATTGCTACAAAAGAGAATCAAACAAGCTATTCGTGGCTTGTCATCTTATTTGTTAAAAGTCCATGACCTCACGAATGTTATGTAGAATCAAAGGCAGGTTAAACTGTTAAAGGATCTCTAGTTGTTTCCCGACTTTTAGTCGAGATACACAGTATATGAAATTCCACCTGAAAAACATGCGGCTCAATTGAAACTCAGAATATAAAACAATATATATAATCCCAACAAAGTCTGACTTCAAAAGAATGTTCTTAAATATGTCAATTTCTCAGCGAATCTCCCAAGTAGTATCTTACCTGCTTTATCTCACTTTTTAACTGCGTGATCCCAGTTCGTTCAGTTTTGGTTGCTCCAACAGCACCAATCTCATGAATAGAAATGGCAGGGCTGATATTTGAATCAGTGGGGCGCACTAGATAACATGATAGATTAAAGATAGAGGGGATAATCAGGTTCAATTTTTTTCTCCATCACATTTAAAAGACTTCAATTCATGTCTTCCTTTTATGTTAATTTTAAAAACACACATACAAGTATAACCTTGCTATTCAAAGTGTGGTCCATGGACCAGCAGCATCAGCATCACCTAGGAGCTACTTAGTAGAATCTTAGGCCTCACTCTGGACCTTTGGTCTAGAATCAAAGACTGCATTTTAGCAAGCTCTCCAGGTGCATAGTAAGGTATCCATCCATCTAACATTACATATTTATTTATCCTAAGCCTAAAAGTTGAGCATGGGAGGTAACTATTTTCATTTGCTCTGATGGTTTAGGTACTCAACACCAAGTGCAGATGAAAGACTAATTTGTGATGGGACCCTAGATGTGTTTGAATTTAAAGGTGAAAGGATACATCAGATGCACTGTAGCAGCTACACACACACATGTGCATATGGGTTGTTTGTTGTCCTAAACAGAGACTTCAATTTAGGATAATTTAAGGGAATGGATAAAGCAGTTTAAAACAACACATGAGCCCAGCCAGTGTGGTTCAATGGTTAAGCGCAGACCTAGGAACCAGGAGGTCAAGGTTTGATTCCCTGTCAGGGCATATGCCAGGGTTGCGGGCTTGATCCCCAGTGTGGGGCATGTAGGAGGCAGCTAATCAGTGATTCTCTCTCATCATTGATGTTTCTATCTCTCTATCCCTCTCCCTTAAAAAAATACATGATAGCAATCTACTTAGTTGATATTATCATTTAAGGGAAAAAGTGAGACATACAATGGTTTCCAAATCTTGTTCCAGAAGACAGCTTTGCTTTTAACTGTTCATATATTGGGGTTCTATTTATTTTGGGGGAAAAGGTTCCTCAGATAAAAAGCATTGTAAAATCAATGAGATACTTAAATACTCTGAAATGGAAATTCAACCTTACCACTTCGTTCTACTCCAAACTCCTTGCCACTGAGAATGTGATGCAGGAGGCTCTTCATGGCTGAAGGGCTGAGATTCATCAGGCCATCTGTGGCTTCCTCAGCTAGTCAGAAGAAATGTTAGGGCAGAGATATTTCTAACTGGCCTGCCATACCCACCCTATTTTTCTCTATTTCTTTCTTTTTTAGAATTTCTGAGTCACTTTATTGGAAGAATAAAATAACAAAACAAATTTCTAGCACCATACCGCTTAGATATTAAGAATGTAATTGATTTATAATAAAGACTGACTATCCAGTTTATGGATTAGCCAGGTCCTTGATTTCTTTTTCACACCCCTCCACACCATTAGGATACTCAGCAGGACCTTTATTTGAAGGTGGGAAGAATGAAAAGAGAACAATGGGACTGGAACTAATCAGAGAAAGGCAATGAATGTAATGAATGAATATGCAGATGGACTAAAATAATCAAAACTTGTCAGCCTGGAAATACAGAGACGCAAAAGATAATAGATATGAATACATGAAATTATAAAGAACGTTGAGAAGATAACTTAAACTTGTTCATCAGCATCAGACACTTATTAAGAGTTTTCTACATGTGGGTAATGATTTTATGCAGTGTTAGTACTAACAGGTATGACATGGTACTTGACCTTGAGAGGCTGACCAATTATTTGGGAGAGATTGGATATTTAAACAAGATAGACAATAATAAAACATGGCTATAGTAAGTGCCAAATGATGGTTGATTAAATTAGTGGGAAGTACTGCTGAAGTAAGAGGTAGAGGCCAGACTAATGAGGATCTTAAATATCAGACCCAGGGATCTTAACTTTACCCTATAAGAAATAAATAGCCATGGTTTTGATGAATCCACAGGAAAAAAGATCCACAGCAGCCACTTAAGGAAAAGTGAAAAATGTTCGTGGGTTTATCCCTCATTCAGGCTTATTATTGAATAATCAGACCCTCATAAACATCCATGATACCATAGCTAGAGAATACACATAAATAATACACGTAGTCTGCCTCAATGTGCTAATCTAGAATTCATTTGGAATCAGGCAGACTTGGACTCAATTTCTACTACTTACTAGCTATGTAACTTCGGGCAAGTTGTTTAACCTGAGTTTGTTTCCTTATCGGTAGAAGTAAGACAAAAATACCTTCTCCAGAGGATTGTTGTAAAGATTAAATGAGATAATGCATGTAAATATAAAGCAAAAAGCACAGTATCTGGCATATGGTAAGTATAAAATAATCATTAGCTCTCTTCCTAAAGGGTTATTTAAATATAAATTATCTCGTGTAATTTAGGTTAAACTCAAACCAATAAATTTAGGTACTTGCTAACAGCTCAATTAAAAATCTTTTAGGGAGATTTAACTGAAGAATGGCTAAAATTGAGTCTAGCCACTGTAATTTTGTTTTTGTATGTAATCCATAGTTCTTTCCATTCTTGTTGAAATAAAGAGAAAGTAGACCTGCCATGGAGGTCCCATTCCTCCCTTCACACTTTATACAATTCTGCTCTACAGAGCTTCAGAGAGTCTTGTTAAATAAATATCAACAGAAATATTGCTTTTCTTTATTCAATCCTGATGTTGACTAGACAGAATACTAACACTAGGATCAAACTGTGGTGACTTAGTGTAGCATCCAGAAGCTGCATTGACTGAGTCAGGATCCCACCCAGCCTTCCACTATCAAGCTCCATGTACGCTAGGAATTAGGAGGAATGTAGTGATTTGGAGCCCCCAATAGGGAAGTTTTGAAGTTACATAACTAATTAAATTTGTCACAATATCTGTCTCTTTATTTGTATAGAGACTGACTAACCGAGGAACAAGATTGCTATACTGGTACGCAGCTTTTGCGCTACTCATAAATATGTTTTAGCTTTCTTTCGCCTCCTGATCCCAGACCCAACAGGCTTACATTAAAAGTAAATTCTGCCTAAAATAGTTTCTAAATTGAATACCTGAGCATCGAAGGGAATGGGCCAGTTCTGTTGTCATAACTTGTATGATCAGACCAATTCGAAGTCGAAACATTTCAGCAAAGAGGCCAGGTTGAGTTCGCATATACATAGCTAGATATACCATTATTTCCTGTGCATGGAATGGATATAGACAAAAATTATGGCCCAGGCTTCACAAGGCCGATTTTGTGGGTCAAGTGCCACATCAATTGAAAACAAAATTTAAAATATCAGTCACCAGATTAGGCTTTCTAATTCTACTCACCTGTGTCAGGATTGAAATGCTCATGTCCCCTTCACTGGCTTCATCTATCAGCTGAGTGAGCACTTCATAGGGCAGAGGTCTGAGGAAGAAGATAGTAAAGAAAGACAAAATTCTGCAACTACTTAAGCCTAAATCTATTGAGAAAATAAAAAGCTCCTCCCAATTTCAAGTCACTGCCTCAATATCTCATCATTACTGGTAGCATATATGCTGGTTCTTTCAGTCTTCAGAATTCATTGCCTCTCCAACCACTCTGGCCCATATCAACTCAAGAGAGTTCTAGTCTCTCTTATCTAAACCTGGAGTGCCTTTCCCCTATAAAATTTTATGTAAACCTCACTCTATGTTGTCCTTCTAGACCAGCGGTTCTCAACCTGTGGGTCGCGACCCCTTTGGGGGTTGAATGACCCTTTCACAGGGGTCGCCTAAGACCATCGGAAAACACATATATAATTACATATTGTTTTTGTGATTAATCACTATGCTTTAATTATGTTCAATTTGTAACAATGAAATTGGGGGTCACCACAACATGAGAAACTGTATTAAAGGGTCTCGGCATTAGGAAGGTTGAGAACCACTGTTCTAGACTAATTTTTCAGGATTAATTGTTAACATTTGACAAGTAACTATTATGGCTAGAAAGTAATCAACTAAATTTAAGCTGTGCCTTTTGGAAGCTATTTTATTACTTTACTAGAGGCCCAATGCATGAAATTCATGAAAGAGTAGGTCTTCCTTCCCCCAGCTGTTGGCACCGGCTTCCCTCTGGCACCTGAGACCGGGCTTCCCTCGCAGAGGGAGGCCCCTCCCACCCGCTGCAGTACACGGGTCAGTGGCCTGGGCCTCCCTCTTTGGGGTAATCATGGAGCCCCCCGATTGATCACCCTGCCGGCTGGTGGCCTGGGCCTCCATCTGCGGGGCGATCATGGGGCGATGGCTGGCCTCTGACCAATCGCATAGCACCCGCCTTGGCTGGCCTGGTGCCAGTGGGTGTCATAGTGTGGTCCTGGATGGTCATCCAGATGGTTGTCCGGAAGGTCATCCAGACGGTCCTTCTGCTGTCCGGCCGTCTGGCCTAATTAGCATATTATGATTTTATTATTATAGATAATCACACCTTATAATGTTATATTCATTTTCTATAGTTCATCAGTTTTCTCTCTCTCTCTCTCTCTCTCTCTCTCTCTCTCTCTCTCTCCCACACTTCTGACTCTCCTGTTGATACTAAGCACTTTGGAGGCATGGGGCATGGAGTATGCCATCTTCTTCTTTGGGACTGCCTACAGTACAGGCATACCTCGCTTTATTATACTACTTTACTTAATGGTGCTTCACAGATATTGAATTTTTATCAACATTGAGGCAAGACCCACCACCAGCAAAAAGATCACAACTCACTAAAGGCTCAGATGATGGTTAGCATTTGTTAACAATAAAATATTTTTTAAATTAAGGTATGTACATTTTTTAGACATAATGACATTGGATATTCAGTAGACTACATAACCTTTATATGCACTTGGAAATAAAAAAAATGTGTGACTCATTTTATTGTGATATTTGCTTTATTGTGGTGGTCTGCGACTAAACTACAATATCTCCAAGGAATGCCTGTAGTCACAAAATTAATCTGATTTGTAATAAAATATTCTGTTTTCCAAGAGCAAGGTATAATGGGTTGAATGTGTCCCCTCAATGTTCCTATGTTTAAATCTTAATCCCTAGTACCTCAGAGTGTGACCTTATTAGGCAGAGGTTATTGTGTGGGCTCTAATCCCATAGGAGTGGTATCTTTATATAAATGGGAAATCTGGACACAAAGAGACACACACAGAATAAAGAAACATAAAGAGACATAGGAAGAAAATATCCATCTATACTCCAAGTAGAGAGGCCTGGAACAAAGTCCAAAGAATAGCTGATTTTTTTGTGGGTGCTAATCCCAGTTGCCCTGTTTTTTGTTTTTGTTTTTCTTTTGAATGAGAGGTATGGGAAATCCAATATGAAAACAAAAACAAAAAAATCAAACCAAAAAAGAAAAGCAAAATACATTTGTGTGTTACTCATTTGTGAGTTTTCTCTTTCATTTACTCTGCTGTGTTATTATTAACATTCTCATGCCGAGAAACTTACGCAAGTAGGACATTATCATCCATTGACAGATTAGGGCAAGAGAACTGGGATCAGTTCACACAGCTCCTTAAAGACTAAGAGAAGCTTGACCAAACCCAGTCAAAAGCCATACTCACGCAGAGATAGTCTTCTCTCGAGGTTCTGGAGGGAGTCCCACTGTCAAATGTTTCTGGTGGGAGAGAAGGTCTGTACAGGCCTAAGGAGAGACAGCATAACAGCATTATCTGCCCCAAACATCTCAGAGTTCCATGAAAATTAATCTTTTCTGCCTACAAGGTTTTTCTCCCCCTTAATTTAATGACACACCAAACTTTCTTTCTCAGGAAATACCATGAATCAGAAAAGAGGGATTTTTAGGAAGGAACAATGAGGTATTTTATCTCCTAAGGGGTAGGAACATGGCCTAGTGCATATTTTTATTCTTAAGATCTAGAATTCTTATACTTTACAACACCTCTATAAGACTACAGTTTACATGCTTCATTATATTTGCAGACAAAAAACTAACTGAAGATCAGAAATTTTATATAGGAAAGATAGTATTTAAAATGATCAGAGGCTGTGGTTGCTTTAAAAGACAATTATGGAAACCAACTTTTAAAATGTCCTCCATTTAGATTTGGTGTCAATTTAAGAAGAATTTATAGTACCTCATCGAGTGCTTCCACCTTCTTCCTTAAGATTCCAGAGATACACCGGATCAAGCCCCAGTGACGGATTTCTCCAACTTTGTTATATAGCTCAGTAAGCAGCTCTCTGACTGTTGCACTCCCTTCATCATACAATCCAGTGTCCCAGTCAGGTCCCCTGGAATGTTAAAGACAAGACTACATTAACTGTAAGTAAAGTTGTGAGCAATAATCTTTTGTTTCAGTGTTATAATGGATATATCTGTTTTTGATAGGTCTCTCTTTCAATAGAAAATGAATGTTATTATTAACTAAGAATCCTTGTAAAATTCTGATTAGTAGTCAGTACCTAGACAAGAATAAGTCTTAGTTTCAGTTGTGTTTTGACAAAATTCATTATTTTACCCTCTTCATGGGCTTCAATGGTGCTGATAATAAAGTCAAAGATTTCATTTAACCATTGAAAGTTCAGAAAGTAGCTACTTAGAGAACTAATGAAGAAATAACAAGGATGAGTGCTTACTTTTAAAGGATACAGATATGTTATTTTTGTAAAATTTACTATAATACAAATCAGCTGTGAAGTACCATAAAAGATAAAGTACTGTGAAATTGGGAATTTAATATGCAACAAAGGTAGATTATTTATTAAATGATATCAAGACAATCAAATAGCCACCTGAAAAAGAAGCTGGATCCATGACAGAATTCCAAATATTTAAATATAAAGGTACTAGAAAAAACATAGGAGAACTATTTTATAACTTTGGAGGCAAAAGGACTTTAAAACTATGAACTATATACCAGAAGCCATAAAATAAAAGATTGAAACATTTATATACATAAAAACAACCAAATTCTTACTGCAAAACCCACTGTAAGCAGAGTCATAGGACAAATTTCCAACTGATAAACATATTTGCAATTCATAGGCTAATTTTTCTAATATATAAAGAACTCCAAACTAATAGATAATAAAAAACAATAAAAGAAAATCTGGCAAAACAAATACCGACAGCTTTTAAACATAGGAAAAAGGTGATTGATGTCACTTATAATAAAAAATATACTCAAATTAACCAAATTAATAGTTTTTTCATTTCTTATGTTGTCAAAAATTCCCAAATTTGATAACAATACATTGGTGAGGCTTTGGGAAAATAGGAAATCTCAATATATTGCCAGTGGGAGTGAAAATTAGATAATCACTTTGGATGGCTATTTGGAAATATATATATCAATATTAAAAATACCTATATTATTTAATCTAGCAATTCTACTACTCATATATCTGTAGGACAAATTCCAAACTTGAGAAAAGATTTATGTGGTGAGGTTATTCACTATAGCAGTGATGGCGAACCTTTTGAGCTCAGCGTGTCAGCATTTTGAAAAACCCTAACTTAACTGGTGCCGTGTCACGTATAGAAATTTTTTTGATATTTGCAACCATAGTAAAACAAAGACTTATATTTTTGATATTTATTTTATATATTTAAATGCCATTTAACAAAGAAAAACCAACCAAAAAATGAGTTTGCGTGTCACCTCTGACACGCGTGTCATAGGTTCGCCATCACTGCACTATAGCATTGCTTGTGATGGAAAAGAACCCAAATGTTTATCAATAGGAAATAATTCTATATGACTTCTGAGACTAGGTCATAAAAAGTAAAGCAGCTTCCACTTGGCCCTTTCGTGGGTTGCATACTCTTGGAACCAAGACACCATGCTGTGAGGAAGTGGAGAGACAGGTCATTTGTGGATATTCTAGGTAACAGCCTCAGCTGAGGTTCCATCCAACAGGCATTACTAACCCCAATATTTATGAATGAATGAGTGTCATGAGGACTTCAGCCCCAGACATTATCAGACCACAACTGAATGAGGCCCCAAGTGAGAACTGCCTAGCTGAGCCCAAGCAAGTCCTAGAATCATGACAGATAATTTAAATACTTCTTGTTTTTTTAAATTGTAAGCCAGTGAATGTTGGGGTGACTTCTGAAGCAGTGACAGATAGATGAAATATGTAATGATTTTCAAAATATATAGTTTTAGTGAAAAAAGTATGGTACAAAGCAATGTATATACTATGCTAACATTTGCATAAACAGGTATAAAAGTATACACATATATGCATGTATTTATCTACATATGCATAAAATTAAATTCCAAGTAGATTAAAAACCTAAATGTTAAAAAATATATTAAAAGTAATTTAAAACATTTTGAAATTCTAAAGCAGTCATTATGTCCTTACACCTTATCTCTTTTCATCTTCTCTATTTTTTTATTACTCTGCTTTTAGCATTGTTCTTGGCACATAATAAATACCCAACAGATACATGCTGAATAAAGTACCCTATGTAAAGGAAAAAAATAAAGAAACAAAGGTATCAAAATAGTAAAACCCATGTCTCTTTGTGGAGAGGTAGTAGATATAACGAGTTTTATCGAGTGGCACTTGGATAGGGTTGTATGAGAGGGTAAGTCCCTCATAGCCTGAGACCATCGAGAAGCTTATGTGAGGCACACAATCTATCATCCAGTAAGAGAGGAGGGAAAGGGAATTCCCAGGAGAGAGGGCAGGCAGGAGGGGGTTACATGTCTAGGTGATGTCCCTAAATAGCATTGTGGGGAGTCTCTAGGTTAGAGAGTTCTGAATGACAGCAGGGGTTCAGGTATTCATGGCCCAGGGCCTATCTCCTGCTAACAGAAGTGGGGTGGGTTTTGAGAAGTATGCAAAGCATGCGGGCCCTAAATGGCTAAAAATATGTTCAGATATTTCTGATACAATTGAATATGTAAAATTTGACTTTGGTGCTGGTGAGTTTTTCAGCCATCTCTTTCACTTACTCATTAAACACTATTATCTGATGGAAAAAGCTTAGGCTTTGGAATCAGACTGACTAGGGGGACTTGGTTAGTACCTCAAGGGGATGAAAGTCCCAGATCCCTAGATGGTCTATATCAGTGATGGCGAACCTTTTGAGCTCGGCATGTCAGCATTTTGAAAAACCCTAACTTCACTCTGGTGCCGTGTCACATATAGAAATTTTTTTGATATTTGCAACCATAGTAAAACAAAGATGTATATTTTTGATATATATTTTATATATACAAATGCCATTTAACAAAGAAAAATCAACCAAAAAATAAGTTCGCGTGCGTGTCATAGGTTCGCCATCACTGGTCTATATGACACTATCCTAAAGTGGGGAAGGTAGAACAACAGTGCCTGCCTCATTACAGTTGGGCAAGTGTGGAAGTGTGTGCTTCTCACTCAGCCTTTGTTAACAGGAATAGGGCTAGAAAATTTTTCTGTGGTGCTTGGCTGGAGTTGAGTGGTTATTGTCTAAAAGTTGTGTCTTTGTGGTCTGAGAAGATGCTTCATATGATTTCAATCTTCTTGACTTTGGGGAGACTTTGCTTGAGACCCAATATGTGGTCTATTTTTTAAAATGTCCCATGTGCACTTGAGAAGAACGTATATTCCGTGGCTTTGGGGTGAAATGTTCCGAAGATGTCAATTGAGTCCATCTGATCTAGTGAGTTATTTAGGATTGCTGTTTCTTTGCTGATTTTTTGTCTAGAGGATTTATCCAGTGATGTCA